GCCAGATACCTCGTTAGTATTTAAATCCAGTGCTTGTAACCCTTAGAAATAAAGAGAACAGCCACTAAGTGTATCACTGACGTCACCTGTAAATCAACTACACTATAAAAGTAGAGGTGTTAGTACCTCTTATAATATATATATATATATATTAATATATATATATATATATATATATATATATATATATATATATATAGAGAAGAGAGAGAGAGAGAGAGAGAGAGAGAGAGAGAGAGAGAGAGAGATACATAGTATATATATACACACACATAATCATCATAATTACCTTTCTTATCACTGACACTGCCTCGTTAACTCCCAGACGGCTTGTGCAGAATCTACCACGCGGGATATGTTCAGCCGACCCCCAGGATGCGATCTTCATACCGCTTTTTCACTGGTCTCGCTAACGTGGCAGGAGGGAAGGCAGTTACAGCCGCCAAGCAATATGCCACAGAGTAAGTCTCGATCTTTGTTTTCCTCTTTTGTGAATTTTTATTAAGCTGCAAATTACGGTATGAATGATATCTTTTAAGGTATGAATTCAAGTGAAAAGAGAATGATTCTCTTTGTGTTTACCTGTCTGACTATCTACCTATTTATCTATCTGTCTATTCATCTATAAATCTGTCTGTCTACCAGTCTATCTGTTTACTTATCTATCTAGTACTAAATAGATAGATAGGTAAGCACAAAAAACTTTTTTTCACTTTTGCATATATTTCCGTCTTTCACAAGCTGGAAGTAAATATACAGTTATCGAAATTGATGTACTACAACATACACGAAATACAAATAAACAAAATTTCAAACATATATGTAAAAACAGAGGAAATTACGCACTGTAAATGTCAATATATGGTAACTATGATAACTTCTTAGACCCCCACCTTTTACAGCTACGAAAAATAACGTTAGAAAATTGTTCTAAACACTCTGACACCAGCAATGTCTTTCTGAAACAGCTGTTAATACTACAAAACTGTTGGTATTCCTGATTTTTCAACTACATTTGAGTATTTGTGACTCATCTGAATATTACAAGGCATATTCCTACCTTTCGGAAATAAAATCCTTGTCTCACAGTGAATCCAAATGAATTCCGGAACGACTATTCGAGACATGAATTAGAATGACACTAATTCGAAACCCACCATATCAACCCTTCTGAAACATAAGGTTATGTTCGTTATTGAATGCTGTGACACCCCTCCTAACGATAGTTTTCTGTGTAGCTGTACAATAATTTTTTTTAACTTAAATTTCGACTTCTTCACCACACAAGCAAATTTCTGCTCAGACGACCCGGTAAAGACACCTTGTTTGCAAATAAGAAACTGAACTAAGCTTTATTAAATTTGTTCAGTTATGACTCTGTTGTGATATGACATTTTGTTTCTAAAGCTTTGGTTTTATCATCTGAAATTCGATTATTTATATTGTATAGACTGTAGCAATCCATCCAGAGTATGTGATAAAGGATTTAGTGACATATGCCACACTGCGACTCCTAAAGGTGTCTCATGATCGGCGTGACAGGCTGCTAAGCTCCGCCCAGTTCTGTGACGCAATGGAAATGGCCACAGTTGATGGCTATCTGTTTCACTGTACTGGTTATTTTTTTCAAATGCTACTCAGTATTTTAGAATATAATATTCTAAATGGCTTTTGATATCTTAAGGTGGGTTGTGGTGTGCTACAGATATACAGTATATAAGTACGTATTGTGCATGAAAATAACCGAGGTAGGAGTGCATCTGGCAACTCGATAGATGTTTACCACCTGCTCGATTCCTGTCGCGCGAGAGGTGTCGCGTTTGCCGTAACCGCTGGAAAAGATGGCAATAGTCATGCGATCTGCAGTGATTTGGGCCATAGCTCAACCTAGCTACATTATCTAGTACCAAGGAGCTAGCTGTCCGCAGCATCTCTACATCGAACGACCAAACTTCAACCTTATGGCCATTCGGAGCTTCTCTAACAATCAAATAAATAAACAAAATCCTTAACGACCATCCACGGCATCTCAAGCAGCCGGTTGTTGTTACCGCCATTACCGCAAACCGTTCAAATGTGATGATCCAGCCTAGACTTAGGATTAAGATGTCTTTCTAACCTATTTCATGAGTTTTAATATATGCACTCCCGTTCAGTATTGTCAACCTATTACTTCCATCAGGATTTTCCATCAACTATTGTACAATGATTTACAAGCAATCCCTGGCTACTGAACCACATCGACGCCAAAGTCACGGCTCTGGCGTCGCATTCGAACCATCCCGTCACTTAACCCCATATTTGGCTCCCCGCAACAGTCTGGCAGAAAAAGCCAACGACTGCAGCCTGGGCACCTTCTACCACTCCGATTACGGCCAACTCTACGCCTGGTGGAACGTGGACCTGGGATATCCCGCCAACATCCACGTCATCCGCATCTATCCCCAGTACAAGAATCAGGCCCACATCAATAGGTTCCACCATATCGAGGTTCGTGGTTGGAGAATGGGGTCTCGGTGTCTTATCAATTATCAATTATCGTCATAACTGTTATTATTATTGTTATTATAGTTATTATTATCATCATTATTATCAGCAGTAGTAGTATTGTTTATTATTGCTATTGTCATCATCTTCATCGTAATTATAATCATAATTATTATCATCACCATCATCACCATTATCATCATCATCATCGTCTTCATCTTAATTGCTATTGTTATTGTAATCATTATTATTATCTTGAACATCGAACCCTCATTTTCATAATCTTTAATTATTATCTTCATTATTATCATCGTCATAATCATTTTCATTGTCAATATTATCATCATTGTGGAGCCCATCTCGAGCTCCTCACGACAGGTTTGATCGATCTGCCCAAGCCACGACTTCCTAGGTCGTCCCGCAAGCCTCCTCCATCCAGGGTTGTCTCTAACAGAGACGACCTGATGGGCAGGATCATCCTGAGGAAAGCGAGCCAGGTGGCCGTATAGTCTGAGTTCTCGCCAACAGTACCCCATGATCTGGTGCAAGGACTTATTATGAAAGGCATCAAGACGAGACTCCAAGGCACAGGATAATGTCCAGGTTTCACTACCGTATAGCAAAACTAGCATTATCAGGGCCTTGAAAACCCGTAGCTTGGTCCTTCTGCACAGGTACCGGCATCTCCAAATACTCTTGTCGAGAGAGTTCATGACCCCTGCTGCCAGGCAAATCCGTCTTCTGACTTTCTGGTCTGAAAGTCCAGAGTTTGTACTACATTACCAAGGTATGTACCGCTCTCTGTGACTTCAATGTCCCGCCGCAAGCACGTACCGACCGAATAGGTTCTCCTAGCAAGTTCCCCAAAGTCCTGGATCTTGGTCTTGGTCCAAGAGACCTCTAGACCCAAGGGCTTCGCTTCATTACTAAATGCATCAAGAGCCACCACTAAGGTTCCAAAGACAGATAGAATAGCAACATCATCGGCAAGGTCAAGGTCTGTAACCTTGGTATTGCCCAGAGTTGCTCCACAATGACTTTGAACAGAAGCTCTGCCTAGTATCCAGTCCAAGCAAGCGTGTTGAAAAGAGTTGGTGCAAGGACACAGCCTTGCCTCACTCTTGAACTAACAGGAAAGAAACTGGACAGGCCCCCACGACACTTTACAGCTCTTTCAGTACCAGTATACAGGCTTGCTATTAGTCCAATAATCCTTGTTGGAATTCCTCTCAGCCTCAGGAACTCCCAGAGTGATTCCCAACGCACCGTATCGAACGCCTTCTTGAGGTTGATGATGCAAGCAGCCCACGCCTGAGTGCTCCTAGTCTATTATGACTACCATTATACCATCACTTCACCAACATCTCTATTATCATCACCGTTATCGTCATCATCATTACCATCGTCATATTAGCAATTTTCTTTCTGCAGTTTTCATTTTCTTATTACCATTACTGTCATTACTTTTGTTGCTGAAAACAGTTTCATCTTGCTAAAGCCATCCTCGTCATTAACCTAGTTTATTATAGCTGTTGTTATTGTTGCCTCTGTTATTTACCGTTATTCCTGCCGTCATTTCCGTCTGCGTCATCCTCATCGCTGAGTCATTTGATTTGTCTTTACCGTTATTGCTGGTAACTCCCATCCCTCTTATCATTATCGTTGATCTTACGACTTATTTAGTCATAACTGATAACGTTTCTATCCTTCTTATCCTATCCCTCCTCAGGTGAGCGTCGGGTCGGGTGGCAGCGGCGGGGGGAGATGCCTCGACCTACACTGTGGTTGCGAATTTTATCGGTCCCTTTGATAACAGCAGCTGGTTCGTATGCTTTCCTCTCTTGCTGGTTCTCGCTCCTGTCTATCTACCTTTCTGTCGGTTTGGCTAACTGCCCTTCTTTCCTTCTCTCTCTCTCTCTCTCTCTCTCCTCTCTCTCTCTCTCTCTCTCTCTCTCTCTCTCTCTCTCTCTCTCTCCTCTCTTCTCTCTCTCTCCTCTCTCTCTCTCTCTCTCCCTCTTTCCCTCTCTCTCTCCGCCTCTACCTTTGTACATATACTTACGTGACAACTACTGCCTCTGCTCCACAGTTTATTCAACCCTTCCCTTTGCAGCTGCAGCGTGGAATACACCTTCGACCCCCCTGTCTTGGCTCGCTTCGTCCACATCCGACGCTCCACCGCTCCCAACATTGATGAAGATTACCTCATTATGAGGGAGGTGGAGGTTTTGAGTCCAGATGTCTACTGAGAACGAGGCAGGAACTCGGTGATAAGTGCATAGATACATAGCAGAATTATACACATGAATATATTCACACACACACACACACACACCCACACCCACACCCACACACACATGCGCGCGCGCGCGCACATACAATCATACTAGTTGAAGAAAATTCACATATGCAATAACAATACCAGAACGTTGAGTTTCATATTGTATTGCACGAGACAAATCATGCATCAAATAGCAATTAATACAACGTATCTGAAGGTCATTTTCCAAAGTGAGAAATGAGGAGACTGATCATCAAATGCCACATGTGTAGGTGTTCTGAGCTCATGCAATGTAACCGAACTGTGTGTATTTCTTTGCCACTGTCTTTACCAAAGGATGGCCTTAATATGATGGTGTGGATGTTGTTGATTTTCATGTTAATCACTTCACGTATTGTTTGTTTCCATTTCATTCAAGTTCATCGTCTTGGGAAACACTTCGCAGACTAACATGAGCGTGCAGCTTGGGCACGGTTCTAAAAAAAGGGAATTACAGTTATTACTACTATTGGAGATGTAGCTACAACAACAACAACGACTACTATTACTACTACTACTATTACTACTACTACTACTACTGCTACTACTACTACTACTACTACTACTACTACTACTACTACTAC